ATCGTCACTCACACTCACATCCATACCCACACTCACCCACACCCACATTCACCCACACTCATCCACACTCACCCACACTCACCTACACCCACATTCACCCACACTCACCCACACTCACCCACACCCACACTCATCCACACTCACCCACACCCACACTCACCCACACCCACACTCACCCACACCCACACTCACCCACATCCACATCCAGCCACCACTACCTACCACCGTTGATTCAGACGCAGAAAAGAATCCACGAAGTCGATTATTTTATTCTTCGGAAGTACACTTGATGCTTTACGTCATTCTATAGAAATGTTGGAATTATCCTTCATTGGAAGGTTGAAGGCCGTCGCCGTTTCTGATTTCTCGGAAGAAACAAATCGTGGGTGAGTAATTGCTTTCTTGCTGAAAGAAGAATTGATGTTGACAGAAGATTTTAAATTTGCGAAACGCTGAATAATCGAGAAGGTGGTATTTTCCCGGCCTACTTTCACAACAAGTGGTGAGTAACGAACAGCCGATGAAGTGTTGGAAAAAACCTACGTTATGTTGGAAGAATATTGTTTGCTTATGATAAATATGCAGTATAAATAATATCATGATGCAAACAGATAATGTTCTTCGATAACAACACTTAAAGCTGTGGTATTTACCATGTTGCCTACTCTTCTCTGGCTGGACACCTATGCTGATACTCCTGGAAACTTTGGCAGCGCACTTAGTCAATACAAATCCTTAGTAACATTCACTCAGCCAGATGATTGCACTGCTTACCTCATAGCACATCAGAACGAACAAATATTCTTAATTATTTCTGGCTCGTTTGCTAGAGATGTGGTACCGAAAGTGGCTAGCTATCCTCATATCGAACTGATATTTGTCTTTTGTGCTTCTATGGTCACTCATATGGATTGGGCCGTGGATTATTCGGATAAAATGGTGATGTTCGACTTTGGAGATGATTTATTGCAACGACTCTGGTCAGAACTAGAACGAGTTTTAAGAACACAAGCACAGGAATGTCTAATTCAAGCAGATGAACTAAACGATCGAGCTCGATTATTGAAAAAGCCAACGTGTGGATGAGTACAGATTGATGTTGACTTAATTGCGTGCTTTCTTCATACTCTGATTAGCTGCATTGCAAATAAATAGTTTTTGTTTGAGTGAACTCGAACCGAAAGATTTGATATTTATTCATTTTTGATTTCCATTACCGTCGCTGTTATGTTGTTCAGTGAAATACGTGAAGTCTTCGAGAGAGAATGCAACTGTCGGTGTCGAAAAAATCCATAATTTTGCACTGAAAGAACTGGTATACTAAACAGATACCACTGTTCGGCTTCGAACCTCGTTGAATCATGAAACAGAAAGATTCTGTGTCCCTCAGCAATTCAGATTCTTATGCATGCTATATCTATTTATCAAACCAAACGATATTCTCACAATCGAGAGTAATACGAAAAAGTTCCTGATCTTCCATTGCAGAGATCTTCAGAGAAACAATCTTGATGATGCCGTGTTCATATGCATTTTTATTTCTCAGTTTTGGATACGAAGGATCTTCTATACTATGGCCATTGTTTTCTGTTAAAATGAGAGATATCAAAATTCATTGAACGATCGAAGACGCTGTTTATCTATCAAAACTTCATTTTGCCATAGAGCAATGACTAAGAACCGTACATTATTTTTGAAAAACCAACAGATACCATGACAAACTAATCTTTAATGCGTTAAGTTCAATTGTCTTGACGGAGTGGGTGTGAATAGTCTGTCCATTCACCCTCACACCCACACTCTTTGTGTGCATTTGACTGGATTTGACGAGATTCGACTTAGATTTCATTTGCTTTATCCAGTAAATTGTAGTTAAAGGTACTTGGCGTCGGAGAATCCAAATCTGCAATCGATTTCTCACAATTTTGAGTTCATTGTTTCTATATCGCATTGCTCGGAAACAAATTAATTTTTATTAAAGCAGCGATTTTTCCAGGAAAAAGTTTTATGAAAAACAGTGATCTTTCCAAAAAAGACAAATTTTTTTTTCGAAAAAGTGAACTCAAAATTTTGGAAATCTGATTTTCGATTCAGACTCATCGATGTTGACTTCCTTTCGTCAAACTTTATAAAAAGAAGTCGTTAGTTTTTTTAGTGCAACAATTGAATTACAAAGTTTGACAAACTAATTATGGATTTGGGTTTGCTGATGTTGATTACTCTTGTTCCAAATTCACTAGTCAAATCCAAATTCAGTTGAACTTTAAACCAAATCCAGTTAAATCTAATGTTCGAATTTGACAAGATTTGGGTTTGGTGCATCCCTACTCGGCCTTAAAACTTACACTTGTTATTTTTTTCGAAAATATGTATGTTCCACAAAATAAAACTTTCGAGTAATGAAGAATTATTCAAGATGTAAAATCAGTAGATGCTGCAGCAGTTTCTCTAAATTTGAGCAACTGAGAGAAGAACTTAAGTCACACAAGATCGGCATTTGAATGCAGAAAAAATTTACTGAGGTCATGACCAAAAAAGTTATCCATGTACATCTCTAATCATAGATCTGTTTCTGTTGAATACCTATAGAACGAATCTAAATTGATTGTCAGTTTACTTTCATTTTCATCCTTTCTTACGGTATATCTTTAAACATAATGTCACCAATATCTATTACGTAAACTTACTCCTAGATTAAGTGGTTATGATACTCGTGCATTGTAAGTTGTCCTGTAAAATTTCTTGTAACCCTGCTCTGCCCTGCTGCTGATGTGATCTGCAGGATTCTCAGTGAAAGACATAATAAAAATAAATACAATAGATCGTAAAAATATCACGCAGAAACTACAGTACATGCACTCATACGGTACGTTCTATACTGCGAATAATAATAACACATTACTATACGTATCGGTATGGATACAGATGCGTGAGTATGAATATCTTCGTTTAATTCACATGCGCAAGCACACCACAAACCTACACTGCACACTCACACCCACACCCCACCCACACTCTCAAGCAAAACTATAGTTATTGTTTCTTTCTGTAGATCATGCATTATTATTAAGTGTTCTATATTACATTTATCTATCCGTATTTGATGCGTCATTTAACAATTGATCCTCATTTTTTTTAACACAAAGTTTTGAATGGTCTTTTGTCTCATCTAAACTTGTTTCCAATTGAAGTTTTTCAAAGACGTGTTCACGATAAGCACCTGACTTTTTTGATATATACAATACAATAATATCGGAAACAAATGTCGCTATACCAAATATTCCAATTAAAGAACCAATATTTAAAGTTAACGTAATGAAATTAAATTTTCCAGCGTTGCCACTAACAGTAACTTTAAAACGAAGGCCATACGCCTTTGTTAATGTACGAAAATGTTCTTCATTTTGTTTCCAAGTCGAACTATAACGAAAATTAAACCCAACTGAAAATGGCTTTTCATGAAATGGTGCATCAAGACGACTAAATGTGTATTTAGGTTTACATAATTTTATATTTCGATCCAAATTACAGTCCCAATGAAGTTTTATATTTATAAAACCACCATAGCGTAACATTAAATCACGTTCAGTACTGTTATCTTCAGCCTGATTTAGCATATAATCAATAGTATATATTGGACAATCTTTATTGTGAATTGGATCAAAAATGCATGGCTTCAAATTATCAACCATGTTTTTGGTTTTAACTCCAAATAATGGAAATTCAAGAAAAGTTTTTATAAATACTGTAAAATTAAGAATTCCTTGAACAAGCATCATCGATGACTCACCATCTTCCGGTGGACACCAACCTAAATAAAAAGATTTCATAACAGTAAAAAAAAAAGCAATCTACGAGCTTTTTTAATAAAAACAAAATTCCATTAACGATCTTTCAATTATCCGATACTTTCTAATGAATAAATATTCTCTAGTCAAGTGACTTAATCGCTTAGAAACGTTTCGTCAATAACTCAGACAATGGCAAAGACTGCCATTGCTTTTTCTTTATGATTGATTATTGCTATTCGAATCTTAGCGGCAAACTTAATATCCTTAGAACGTAATACATGATAGTTCAACAAAAGCAGAAAGAGAGTTTAATTAAGTAATAGTGTACATTTTGTTTGAGTATTTATTATGTTCCTAATGAAAGATCGTCGTTACAATATTTTTGATTCTTCAAGTTAATATTTAGTTAATCATATTAACATTTAAATCTAAGACGATCAGAAAGTGTCATGGAATTTTTCAGAGGTTATTCCTCGATGCGAAAATTTCGTAGACTTCCTTACTCGAATCAAATTTAGTTTATCGATCATTGCAAATAAAGCATATATCTATGAATAGTTGTGCTACTCAGTATCTAGGGTGATGAAGTTGAAGGCCGATTGAAATTCTTGTCCACATCTATAACTTTCAAACATTTTTTTGAGTTTTCGACTACGCAGCATAGAAATTTGTATTTTCTGCAATAAAGATAATGACAGAGGACATTTAAAGATCGCACACTAATAACATCGCGAGATTTCACTACGAACTTCAGTAGAGTATTTTATGTCTTTCAATATGACAGATTCCAACAATTGTAGTTTATACAATGATCGAAGAATATATATTAATAACATCTCATTCTTGATATATAAGCTAATTTTTTTTTATTGCATTTCCAAAAAATTAAGTAGAAGGATATGTACACAAAAATGTATCTGAAAATGACTAGAATAAAACAAATTCTATGTATTGAGCAACAACCATTACATGGTTTTACACATTTCATTCTAGTTGAAATTGTTCTAATAAGTTTTCAATTAGTTTTTATTTTTTAAATAGCATCTTCTTTTATTCATGGAAAAAGAATTCTTCTTAAATTCTGCTATCAACACAAAAAATCTACCTGCATATTCACATAAACCCTTTGAACTTGTTATCACAGATCTTGTCTGATAGACGATATTTTTCTCTGGTGTAAATAAACATCGACCTGTCCACCGTCCATTCATGGTCGGTATAAATGATTGATTTGAACATATGCTGTCATTTTTACATATTGCTTGTTTCAATTCTATATTTTCAGCACATGTTGATTGTCTTTGATTAGTTCGAACAAAATTAGTCATAACAAACATACCATTGTTTTCCGATGGTGGAATAACATAATCTATTAAAATATAACGAGTGATTCATCTATCAATAGGATTCTTGGTTTCACATCATACCTGCAACATCCATGATAACAGTCTTATTTTGTGGCATCTCAACTTGACCGATACCTTTGACTTTAAGTGTGGTTGATGATACTACTGTTGTATCATGTTTTTGATAACCTTTTTTGTATACAAGCAAATATAATGTAGAATATATAACAATAATTACTTGGATAATGCGAAGTAAAAGAGTAAATCGTACGCTATGTATTAATGCGAATTTCGGTGTTTTATATACAGTGAAATAATACATAAAAGTTGTTTTATATATTCACCAATATGAAAATGACTTTTCGCCGATGAATTGGAATTCACGTTTTCTCAATAAAATGTTTTATTTATTCTAAAATAGCAACAATAATTATGTTCAATTATTTTTACAGGATACACAATCCCATATACTGAATATATTGTTTATATGTTTTCTCATCATATTATTGCTGTGTTTCTCTTGCAATACTAAAATTCATATAAGGTACATCTTGGTATTGATGTGGGAAGAAATATGCGCGTCTAAACGAAGTATGTAATATTCTAAGTGTATTAAAAAGAGGATGGCTATTAATGTGATAAAAAAAAACGATAAGTCAACGTGAATATCAATTTATTGTAATAATCTTGTGTATAAGAGAAATTTATTAGCGCAATCCCAGTGAAACTAAAATGTAAAACACGATGTAGCTGTTTTCGCTTATTTCATAAAAGTGCCTTTTTTCCATCGATTGTCGAGCACATTTCTTTATCATTTTTATTTTTCACAGTGTTGAATAGCTGCAATAGTGAAGCAGTTGATACACTGTTGCAAGATCTTAGTAATATAGAGTTTATCACAATCTATTGAGACTGTCTGTCACGATCATTAGATGGACAAGATAGAGGAAAGAACGTAGTAGGTTCAAATTTCTACCTAATATACTTCAAAATTCCTTCTGGACTATATTTCACAAAAATAAAATCTGATAGTTACGAAATATTTCATAATGGCATTCACTATTGACAATGCAAACGGTATATTCATTTAGGGAATTGTGTTTTTATCCAAATTCAATATGGGGCTTCTCGTTATTTTGTCACAAAATCATACAGGATAAAAATACCAATCCATTGTCTTCAGCAAAGTCTCTTGCTTGGTTTTTGTTCAGTGACAGACATCTTCAATAATTGATACAGAAAGAATTAATTCATTCGAAAGAGGTTCACTAATAGCATTTAAAGCTATTAAGCTTAAATCTTCCCCTTCCTTCAAAAAGGTCACTTTTCGTCAGAAACATCAAAATCGAGATAAATCCATGAGAAAATAGCTCGACATCTGCTCTTTCACAAATGGAAAACAAATTTTATTCGACCATTCTTTTTTACCAAAAATTTCGGAACATTTTCGTCATCCCCTATTCGAAAAACAAGTCGTTTTTACAAAACACCGAAAGTCGTTTTTCGTTTTTCTCAGAACATGGATTCGACGACGTATCTCCAGCGTCATTCTATTACAATAAGCGGTAAAATCAAATCTTTTTTTTTCGTTTGAAAGCTCGCCTTTAGGGCTAGCGACTCTTATGGCCTTTTTTTACAAAAGGGCTTAAATAAAGAAAAATGCTATCATTTTCCTCAAAATTTCGCTATTTTCTGAGGTCCATGATCTCGCACGTGGATAAAGTAAGAGAAAGAAGAAAATAAGAAAAAGGGCGACGAAAGTCGCTAGTCCCAGAGGTCCTCTTTATAATAAAAAAAAGAAAATGGGCTCTATCTCTTAAAGTAGTTAGATGGCCTTAGTGATACTGTACGGATAAAAATAGCTACTAAAATTAACCCAGCTTCCGATTAGAAAGAAATTTAGGGCTCAAATTTTTTTCTATGCATGACTATCCATCTCCGAACATGTGCAGAAAGTTTCAACTCAATAGTGCGTTCCAGCTCGGAGATTCTATTTTGAGGAGAGGGGCGCTAATTGGGATTTCAAAATTTCATGCCTTGACCTGTCTTAGCCCGCAGATTTCGCAAGTGTTTCTATTTATCTTTCGTTTCAAACTATTGAAAATCGTTAACTTCTTACTAGTACGTGCGTGAGACCGAAACCAAACCTAATTGAGACCCAGTAAAATTGATTCGAATCTGAATGAAAGTTTTCTCATTCATTTTGCTCTTTACTACCTACGGTAGCAACTTTAGTAAAGATTGAATATTTGATGAAAATATCCCATTGCGATATGAAGTCTTCTGAAATTATTGTATTTAGTGATTCCTTACTGCTAGACAATTTTGTAGTTCAAAATCTTTAAAGTATATCTGATTTCTATCTGTAAGCCCTTTTTGGATCTGAGGAAAAACCTTTATTTTTGTATATTTCAAACAAAGTTGATAGCTATAAAAATCATTTGTAAACGTCTGTCACTGGATTAAAAATTGCTATTCTCCTTTGTCATCAGATAAGAATAGCTGATTTGCTGCAAAAACATGGTGAAGATATTTCACTCTGTAAGGATCAAATCTGATATGAGTCATTTTCATCACTTACCATTATGATTGGTGAATTTTTCTTGAAAATGTTTTGATCTCAAAACGGAATCGTAAAAAAAGCTATTTGAATACTTCAAATACTAATCGACTTTCTCAATTTGATCGACATATGTAGCTAAAAGTAAATAACTTTAGACAGATTAAACTATTCGAAATTCTCAATTTATAGTATCTATGAGCGATTACAAAGTTTGCAGAGTAATTAACTTCAAAAGCTTAATTATTCTACTACATGTAACATGTATGATTCTTCTTCAGCAAGTATTTCGAACAATTCTCTTCTAATATCTACGTTCTCCGATTATTCGTTGATTTTTCAATATTGTTGTCCTACTAGCTGAATACCAAAGTAATGATCTAGAGATTTTCTGTCCTATTTGTATGAAAATAATGCTAGGAATACGCCACTGAAACAACCACATTCTTTCATTTATGATCGATGAAAGAATACCTGGAAAAGTATATAGTAATTGTAACAGGAAATTTTGAAAAATTTCGTAAGATTTCTTGCAAAAATAGCTGCTCCTCGAACGACCCGCTTACATTACTCTCAAGAATCAGTAAGTAAATAGTATCTTAAGTGTTAAACTGTGTCTACAGATCCAAACGTCTCGTTTCACGTGTTTTAACTAAAGAGAAATATTTCCATTGGTTGGAAGAAAACAATGAAAATTCAATAATCCGCACCTGAGAAGACGAGCCTGAGCTATACATTACTCTCAGACTCTTTTCTGTAAACAAAAATTTGATTTTCGTTGCTCGTCGACTTCGGACGCATATTTCTTCATTTCCTAAATATTTTCCTTCTTTATGCATGTTTGAAAAATTGCTCATGTCTTCATAGGCCTCAGAGTATACATAATAGAAACTAAAGCTTATTAGTACAGCTTCTTGAGAACTGAAATCTGGAATTCACATGTTTCCTCTAAACTATAAAACCTAACTGCTTGTGGTATTCTGGAACAGTAAAAATTAGTCAAGGATTGACTATTTTCAGAATTTCTAAACGAAGTCGTAAACTAGAACGAAAAAAAATGTTTGAACATTCTAAGAGATAGAGAAATCAAGCCCTCTATCCTGCACTGCTTGGAATCTCTCTGCTTGCCACATATTACAGACTCATTGGTAAGATCTGTAACGGAGACCTGCATTTTTATGGTCTGTAATCGGGATGGGAGGAGAGAGACCGAAACTCGAACTGAAAACTTACACTCAATATTGTCTTCGAAAATATGCGTAAGGTGTAATTGATTCTGATACGTGAAAGGAAAGCCTCAGTCAAGAAACGATCAGTCTTATTGCAAAAAAAAAGCAACTACCACAATTATAACGCAAGGTTTCAATCACAAGGAACAATTATGTAAAACATGTTTCAAAGATTAGGAAACCCCTTCTACGTTTGCGGCTCCTTCGTAAACTACTAATCATTCTCCAATTCGCAAGAGTAAAAACAGAGCTAAACTAAATTCATTATTATACGATTCATCATAGTACCGAGCTCTGATATGAATTGATAGATTTGAATTTGAGTAGACTAAATACAAATAATATATTCTTATTTACCGTGAAATAATGTCTGAAGGCGATCGAAGTAGAAAAAGAATCAGTAAATTCACTAGGTGTATATCCAAATGAATGACAAAAGATCAAAAATTATGTGACGAGAAATGCGTCTATCATTCTCTTTTATAATAGTCATTAATCATCCATGTACTACTATTATTTTATTTTACTACACAAACGAACGCGGCAAATAAAAAAAAATGCAGGCAATACTTTTTCTCTTCTTACACGTAAAATAATCGCTAAATTGATGGACAGAAAGAAAACAAAAGTAATTATAAACATATTCACATGCTCTCTTAGATTGACGAAATACGTGTAGGTAATTAGATACAAGAAGATACGTAAACACGATTTTTGTTTTTTCTTCTTTATGTACACATGGTTTCTTGATATTTTCAACCTTATGAAAAGAGCATGAGCGACGTACGTAGAGACAATCTTAAGGGTAAAAGTCAGAGATTTTTCAGTATTTAAATTCAAGAAGTCAACAATTAATTTTTTAGATACAATAATAATCGCCATGAGTAAAACTAATGACGAATTACTATTTTCCAATATGTTAGTCTTTTTGTTTTGCTTTTGAAATTTATTATTTTTTTTATTGATAGAAAATGCTACAAGAATTGATTTTCAACATCTAACGTAGTTCCATAATCATTAAGATAATAATAATTTTCATTCTGGGAATCTATATGTCGATTGTATTATCATTGGATAATGCAACACGTGTTGTTATATATTCTAATGTACGGTAATAGACATCAACATTTAAATGTGTTGTTCGATAAATTAATAAATGGCAAGGAATCTCTAATTGAATATGATTCACTTGGATATGATACTGTTGATTTTCCTAAATAAATTTATAATTGTCTCAATCAATAAACCGAGAACTATTGGACTGGATAGAATTATAGTATTTAAATAAATAATAAATCAATGATTATTCGATGAATAAAATCGTCATTATATGTTCGAGTGAATAAACTGATGATCATTCAATAACTAAATTCATTATTCGTAGTTGTTTAAAGAAATATATTAATAATCATTCAAATGAATAACTTTATAATGGCTTAGATAACTACATTAATGATTTTTCGAATAAATGAAATCATAATTTTTGCGACGAATAAATCAAGAATCTTTCGTATAAATGATATCATCATTGTTTAATTGACATATGATAACAAAAAGTACTGTTGTTTGTTCGGATTATTAGAATGTAATTTGTTATTTATTTTCAATTGTTGTTTGTTTTGTTGATGTTGTTTTATTTTGTTGTTGTGTATATGAAATGAAAAATTTTCTATAATAAATTTAAATTTCATTTACCTTTTTTTTTCTTTGAAGTATTTAATTTAAAGATAAAACTAGTGAAGATGATTGTTTGATAAAATTGACTTGTAGACAACGTTAATTGCTCAGCATCATCTTATAATAAGTGACATTCAGAATTTATTTGTTTATTTTCGAAACATGTATACAACTTGTTTATAATCATATAATAGTGGTTGATTGTTCGATCTGATCAGATTCCATGGCTGACAATATTTAAGTAATATATTTGATTATCATTTTATTAAACCTGTTGATTGACGAATAATTGTATTATTTGCTGATTAGGTGATTGTTTAAATCGGGTTAATGAACTTTGACAATCTAAATAGATCAGATACAAATATTATCTACAAAATATTGTGTTCTTATTCATTTATTGTGTTATTGATGTTGTGAACGATGGTTGGCTGTTGTTGTAAGTTCTTATCAAATGTCACTAATTATTTATTTGTTTTTCCTTTATTTGTTTTTTGTTTCTTTCTTTATTTTTTATTTATTTATATATTTTTTTAATGTTTTTTTATTTACTCCATCGTTCTTTATATTGGTTTTTTGCAAAAATAATTTATTTTCATTTTTGTTCTTGCTTTATCTTCTTCTTGCTTTGATTTGAATCCAACTAGAATTTCACCTTTATGTTTGTTTATCGTGACTTGATGGCTTGTGTATATATCATCTCTTGCTAGCTGTGCTCATAGTTTTCTATAATTGTATTTGTAATAAATTGGTCGTTTAATTTTGTGTTGAAAATCTGGCCGATGTTGTTGTTTCCATTTAAGTTTCACATTTTTATGACGTTGTTTTTCAGCTTTTGATAAAGTTTGGCTTGTTATTGTGCCAATTGTTGTTCGATTGAATTAAATTCATCTATGTCTTGTTGTGTTGCTGTAATGGTTAAGGCAGGTGGTTTGTTGTTTTGTGACGGTAATATTGATTCTTACTTATTGAATTTTGGTCGTAATATTTCAATTAATTCATCTTCACTGATATTTGATAGGTCATCATCTAAATTCATTCCAATATTGGTTGATGTTGTCGGCGATGTTTGAGGTATTTGATGATTGTCTGTTTTTTCTGGATACATATGGAAGAATGATTCGGCAACTGCAGCACAATCGTTTATTACATATTGTTTCATTTTTTGCCGTTTTTATTGTTCTATTTTTTTTTATTATGCTCGTATTGACTAAATAATTTGTTTTCCAAGGTATTTAATTCTAAGTCCAAGCCACATTGCCAAAAATTTCTTGTTTTTGATTTGTCGAGGAATTTTTCTAATGCTGTTGCTGTGGCATCCTGAGGTGACCATGTTGTATTAAAGTCATAATGAGTTAGATGATCACAATTGTATCGAGTATTATAACTTGTTTTTTCATTTTTCATCTCATCATTACTACCAGATGTATCAAACATATTTACTGATACATCCCCGGTTCCATCACCATGTCTTTCCATTTTTGAATGCGTTTTACATATTTCGTCATGCCAATTCCTATATTTAGACTGTAAATTACTATCATCAATTTCTTTACTTATATGGATAAGGTCGAGATAATGAAAATTTTCGAATTCATTGTCGATTGGTCCCCGTGATATGATTTCGTTGTTGTTATTGAATGTAATTGAACATAATTGTTTGATTTTTTGAAGATAATAATGATGGTGGATCAGGCAAGTAATTGAATTCGACTAATATTATCGTCGAATTGTAGATCGAATGTACGAATTGTATTTGTAGTAATGTATCTTTTTTTTTCTTCTTTCCTTTTTTTGGGATTCTGTATCAACCACGTATCTTTTTGTTTCTTTTGCTTCTATAATTGATTCATCCATAATGTTAATTATTGTTTTATAATGAATATGTATAATGTTGATGTTTAATGATGATTCAAATGGTGGATATTGAGCTCTTAATTTTTCATTTTTTCCTATTCTTCTCGCTGTTTTTCGCTAGTTCCGTTGTTGTTCAGCATTTAATTTATGATAATAATCCGATGGATTATTTAAATCAGGTTTTGAATGTGACATAATAAATAGTGAAATAGAAATGATATGTGTTATCTTTAAATGAAATACTAGAATGAATTTTCCTTTCGAGCTAAGCTTTTCTTTTCTTTTATGTATATTTATGCATGGATCAACCTTCATATATAAATTTTTTTTCCTTTGATGTGTTAGATGTATATATATATCATAATCTTGTTTTGATCATAGTAAAGTTATGAACCTGTACTATATGCGTCATTCTCTGCACTATACAGTCTGCGCATAACTATACAGTGCCTCGATTTATGCGCACTATGATTTAATGATGATTCATTTCATATTAAATGATGAAGACATAAAATAAAAAATTCAAATGTTCGAGTTCGACAGCCTCTTCTTATCAGTGAGAAGGTGAAATTCTATCTCCTCGACATGGACTGCTGAATCAAACCCAATCATTTTCACTTAATTATAAATGATTATTATTTTTTACTTTACTCATTATACCATCTAATTTTACATCTTTTCCTTTTCGGAATGTGTTCATTGGATTAAATTCTATCGTTCCACCAATGGAGCGATGATAACATCCATTGTCACTTGTTTTGTTAGCGTTAATTTCTTAACATGTTGTACGATGAATGTTTTACTTTCTAATTATTTAATAATTTTTAATGGATCTTCATATCGTATAACAATTTGTTTCTAATGTTGCGTGTTTTTACTAAAACTAAATCATTGACTTTTAATAATAGATCTTGTCAATGTAAATCTTATCGAGCCTTATATTGTTGTTGACTTTTTATATTATTGTTTCGAGCTTCATTTACACCCATACCTATGTATATATCGAGTGGAATTTTTAACTTTGACAGATAATGTGACTTCGGTACAACATATACATCTATTGATACGTAATTCACAATTGGTCAATGACACATTAACAGTATATTAACAAATAGACTTTTTACATGATGAATTGTTTGTTTGTTAGTGAAGAGAGTTAATCAGGCAAACAAGAAACGGTTATAATTGCGTTAAAATGCGTTAAGTTAGCATTTTTACCATTTGAACATGATTAGTTAAACAGTTCGTATTTTGAACACCTGTTTTTATAGTTTATTTCCAGAAGTTTCATCCTAAGCTGTTAAAAACAGTCTCATTCCATTATTATAAATAAAAAGAAAAAGGTGTGTTTTAACAATAATTTTTCGTTTTATTTATTTCATCTCAACTAATGGTAAATTCAGTTTTAAAAATTTCATAAATAAATGGAACATGTTCGGACTGTATTACTATCGAGAAATACCTATCGAACTAAAATTCAGTGAAATAAATCTTTTCACAATGAAACATTTTTTATATTCATTAAAATCACACTTGTATTTCATGTTCTTGATTAAATGACTTTATCTAAGTGGATCAGTTATTTATACGAATATATTTATATTCTAACTTCATTACTATGTAAAAATCGACAAATTTTGTATAATTTTCAATAAAATCAAAAACTAATAAAACTATTTGTTTAAGTAATGCTTCTGTTTATAAGTACGATAGATTGAGGTTTCGGTAAAAATGAATGTGATCATATCTGAATAATAAAAATAAAGTTAATCTTTCTGTAAGATTGTCCATATTCTAGAATTTTTCTTGTTTCGTAGATTCAGATGACATATGTTACTTAACATATGTACATATACATTGAAAGCACTTTTTTCATTTGTTCCTTTTCTCACTAGGAAAATAACATACACACAAGAAAGGAAAGAAAAAGAAAAATATTTTTTCATAGTCTCCCTTTCGAAAATTTGCTCATTCTCCTTCTTATATTCTATATATTCATTTGTCTTCCTTTTCTTACGCTGTGTAAGTGATAAAATTACCTACTCGTCCAATTCGTCGTCCTTTTACACTACGAATAGATGTACACACGTGCATGCACGCTGCTACAGTCGAATAAGATTGAGTGTGCATAACGTATGTATATATTAAATGTATCATGTGATATTTCTATAAGAATGAAATTTTTATAATTAAATTGGAGAGTTGAGAATACAAGAACAAGTAGAGTCATTTACTTGTTTATTAAATTTAGAATTTCGATATTACAATTAATTATAGTTTAGCTGACCTAACCTTGAAAGTCAACTATACGTTTTTCTCCATGTGTCTTGAAAACTTGAGAATCAAATAGATCACATTTTCGATGTGAAATCATAATTGGCGTTTTGAGTGGCTCATGTATCAAAATCGATTGGATATATATATTGCACCATAATATGCGTCTTGTAAAAGTACACATATATGATCACTGGTTTATTTTTTTCCGTAATCTTTAAATATATTCCAAATTTGAAAGTTCGTTAGTGTGTATTAACAGATAGATACACATTGTTTTCGCTGTGTGATGAAGTATTTTTTTCTATGAAAGATTAAATAGGCAGAACTCTTTTTTCGGAAATAGCATGTCTTAAAAAGAGAAAATAATTGCGGCTAAGAAAATTATTGTTATCATATTTTGTTTAAGACAACAAATATCATTGAAAACTTATCAGCAGGTTGAGGGCAATTTTTCCACCTAGAACAGTCATAAATTATTATGTTAGATGTTTACTGAAAGACAAATATGAAGTTACCGACGCTGATGTGTCTACTTAACAGTTTATTTAAAAGATTCTCTGTAAGATTTTCTGTGTATCTCATTTGCGTTGAATATCCAAAATCTTCTAGACGGATTCTTTACAAAAAGTACAAGCGTTATTGAGTTAGAATTATTCTTTGCGTGCCACTCACTCAGTATCCGGTCTATGGTCATCATCAACTCTGATCAATTGAAACATTTCTATGAAAATACAGGAATTTTTTTTCCTATCACAATATAAACAATTATGAAAAGCAAAAAGTTCAAATAACAATCAGCAATAAAGTTTTTTGCACTTAAAAGTCAATTATCATCCGATATCTATGGAAATATGTGACATTTTCGAGAAATAATAAGTATTAGTATCATGAACTGCCATTAACCACTCGTTGGTATTCCATAAGAATTGACTTTTTTGCCACCAACAAACTTTATTAAAGAATGACACTTGAATCTTTTATTTATGGAAAAAACAACGTCTAATTCTTTATCAATTTAGGTTTTTTTTTCCTTTCATCAGTATTATTTTCGTATTTCTCATGTAAATTTAAGTCTAGAAATGTTGTCT